CCAACTCAATATATCCTCGCTTTCTAATATCCAAGGTCATTTTTACCTTCGTGGAAAGAGAAGCCACATATAAAATACTCATCCATGATAAAGAGGGGGAAATATTTGCAATTTTTTGAAAAGCTGGATTGATGGGTGATATATTATGTAATTCATTCCCTGGCATGGTTGGGTTTCGTTTTATGGTTACTGTTTAACCTTGCCAATTTTACTCTGGGATAAACATCCTTTGGAGGATAAAACACACACACACACAACTTTTAATACTATAAAAGAGGAACGAAGAATCCTTCAAAATATAAATCTGCACCACACAATTAATAGCAAGGAGGGCATTTATCTGGCAAGATGGCAATTAGAATTATTTTCTCCTGCCGACTCTTGTTATTAACTGGCGGTTGTTATGGTATTAATCAGAAATGCCAGGCGAAAACGCTTAGCTTGCATTTTGGGAGAGCTGGTAAAGGATGACAAAAACGCTTAGGTACCTTGCAACAATGCATTTCCACCCTTTACTAATAGGATCGGGGGGAAACACATGCATATAAAAGTTTCCATATTTAGCATCCCAGCAACTCCAGGACCAGATAGATAATAGGATATGTTTGGGTAGCTGTCTCAGGGCCCACATTTTCGGTTTGCCAGATTGTAGTTCCTGTTAATATTTGCAACTTGCATGCCCTCCCACATTTCTCTGATGAAAACAGGGACATCCTATTCAATAATAAGAATAATGCCCCACCCATCTGACTAGGTTGCCCCAGCCACTCTGATCAGCTTCCAACATATATAACAACAAAATAAAAGTCCCTACTCACTGAGGGTTTGTGACCCATTGGCTACCCTCACCTGGTTTAGCCAGCCAGTCAACGTCATTTTCCGGGACGTGGCCGCTGTCGCATGCTGACAGCTTCTAGGAGCCACAGGTGAGAGTCGAGTGCAGGGTGGGGGCCAAAGGTGGACAGGCTTCGGGGAATAGGCCTCCTCCCTCATGGCAGTAAACAAAAGATCAAACGAAAGGAGTGTCTTACCAGTTAGAATCTTTAATAATCACAGGGCTTGTCTCCTAGAATGGCGATGCTCCCAGTTAAGGACTACACCCTCCTCCATCCCTATTAATCTACGTCACTCCTATGTCTTGTAATCTGAGCTTGTACCCTCTGCGCTTTCTGTTCTGCTGTCCAAAGAATGCGAATCTGTTAACCCTCTCTCTGTTCCAGTGTTTCTTCTCCCAGCTGTCCCCCATCCAGTACTTCCCAGCTTCTGCCTTCTGAACTATGCCCCTCTGCAAACCACTGTTCTAAATCTATACTGTCCTCCTGCTCCTGTGAAGATTCAGGAGCAGGAGGAGGGGGTGGCTCCCACCATTCCTCCCCAGTACAGCCCTCCTCAGCACGGTCCCCAACCAGGTAACTCCTGAAAATAAAAAAGAAAAAAGAAACTCCTCAAGAACATACATCAGTGTGAATTTCTCCCAATGAACACATTTTATATGCAGTTTTGAAAAATATGCACATTTTTGCAAGCAGTCCCCCTTAATATAATGCATGCTTGTATGTTAATTTCACAAAGATCTTCATTTTTAGGCACGCTCTCTCTGAATATATGTGGTTTCCGCATTGTAAAATTTATATATATTTTTATATATGAAACACAGGACGGCTGTGTTTCAGTATGTATATTGCTTTGGAAAGTGCAATTTTTATAGATTCAGCTTTAAATGCATAGTGAACCAATTCCTCCTCCATCCCTAACTGGGACTGTTTGCTGACAACACTGGAAAAAGTTATAAAAAGTGCAAAAGCATAGTTATTGTAAAGTAAAATATATTGTCTGGAAACACCCAATTTGGCACCAAAGCCACAGATACTGCCGTATTCTGAAGATATTATTATTATTATTATTATTATTATTATTATTTATATCTGCAGGTCTCAGGGCAGTTCTCAACATAAAATCACAATATAAAAACATGGAATACAAATTAAAAATAAAAACAAGAACAACCCTCACAGAAGCCAACTGATTTGGATTTAATTTCTGCAGAATACATCCTTGGAATATATGAGCAACCCGCTGAGAGTCAGACTCGAATGGTTCTTCAGAAACAGCAGGAGAGGCCAAAAGTTTGTTAGCCAACTAACAGAAGCTAATGGGAGTTTCCTGCAGCACGATGTACCATATTGGCCTGAATATAAGCTGCACCCGCAAATAAGACGCACCTTTAAAATTCGGGGGGGGGGGGGAGAGAAAGAAAAGACAATACCCCAATACCCGAATATAAGCCGCTCCCTTAAAATTGGGTTACAGGCTTAAAATCGCTGCGGTTGGTAGAATTGTAACTCAGAGCCAATTTAAGCCTTTGATCTTGCAAGCCCACAAAAGTTGCCGCACAATCGCTATAAATCGCAAATCGCAATTCAATTGCCACAATTCCGCAGGCACTCACACCCGTAAATGGCAAATGAACAGTCCTGAGTTTGCAAATTGGCAATAAAACCTTTTTTTTGTGTTCCGTTTTACCGTGTGTCTGTATCAGCAGTGACATCGTAAAAGCCCGTTTTTGTAAGGTCGCAAATTTAAGCCGCGCTTTAGCTTTTCACGGTCGGAATTGGGAGGAAAAGTGAGGCTTATATTCAGGTCAATACGGTAGATCCTTTGTATATTATGGTACGCTTTCTAGAACTCTCCCACTACTGCAGAATAATTGAGGCTGTGATCAAGGCCAGATTTAGGTTTGATGAGGCCCTAAGCTACTGAAAGTAGTGGGGCCCTTTATATGTCCAGCTGTCCTTTGTCAACAACAAATTGTCGCTGTTTTTTTGTCTTGAATATATGCTATATGGTAATTTATGGACCTAATAGGTATCTAAAGCCATTTGCACATGTTGCCATGCAACCAGTGCATGCAGAATGTTGGCACCTTATATATAGAAATGAGCAAACCAGTGATATTTTAGGGAGCAGGCTAGCAGGTAGGACCCATTACTTACATCATAGGAGCCTACACAACACAAAACACTGTTACTGTATGTAGGTTTCATTTTACTTGTTTTTTATCTTATATTTTGGAAATTGAAATATACTCGGAGTCGAGAGTGGATATCATGCTCTTTATTCAGCTCATAGTGGTGAGGAGGAATGGAAGTTCCCCCAGAATGTCTGCTTTATATACAGTATTTACACAATGGGCCCCACGTGATTGGCTAATTCCGGGATTCTCCTGTAGGCCAATCAGGTTGCGGATTCCCTTCCACCTGGAGCTGGATTGGGTGGCTCCTGTGGACCAATCAGACTGCTGCATTCTGGAGGCTATTGTTCTAGGACCAATCAGGCTGCTGCATTCTGAATCCTATTGTTCTAGGACCAATCAGACTGCTGCATTTTGGATCCTATTCAACTCAGTACATAACAGAAATGTACATCCAGTTTTTCCCCTTTAATTTTTTTGCCCCCCCCCCCCCGAGAGTGGGGCCCTAAGCTATAGCTTGTTTAGCTTATACATAAATCCGACACTGGCTGTGATCTGGGGAAGCAAGAGCATTTGAGAGCTGAGTGAAGCACATACCGATATTCGAGGCTGTGCCTTGTCCTTCTACATCTTCAGGTTTGTCGTTACCCTCCAATTCCAAAGCTGTCCTGAACGGTTAATCCTACATTACAAGCTGCAACACAGAAGCGGAGCCTGCAAAGAAAACACAACACAATTCCCTGCTCCCAAACATCCTCGTATGTTCCGTTTGCAGTCAAAAAGAGTCCATATGTTTCTGTTTAGCAGAAGGCCAGCAGCATCTGTTTCCTGGCCGCTGAATGAACTACCGCCCCAAAAACCTAGACAAGTCTACGCAGTCAAAATAGTTTATCTTGCTACTGGTCCAATCACCATCTCCTCAGGCTCTCCACATGGTCTCTTCCTCACATCAGATTTCATATGCTTGTCCTGCATCGTTTTCTGGGTCCTGCAATCTCCACCTGGTGCTTATGTTTTACTCTTTTTAAAACAAAAAAGCAAGTTTCTAGCCCTGTTGGTTGCAGAGGGAAAAAAAAAACACAGAACAAAAGCCGAAGTAAAAAAATAAAAAGAATAACCAGATGGGTTTGTTTTCCTCCTGAGCAGGAACAGAAAAATCCTGATTATATAAATGTTTGAATAAATAAAATATTTTTTAAAAAAGAATCCTGACTCCCAATACCTGAGGAAGAGATATTCTTGTTGACCAGATGGTGCATTTGTGAGCAGGTCCCCAAAGCAAGCTGGTATATTTCCTAATGTTGGTTGAACCCCAAATTACTGTTTTGCATGATCCCCCAAACACCTTATTTTATTTATTTGTTTCCCATAACATTTTCTGCTAGGTTTTTTTTTTTAAAGGAAACCATTTCATTAAGAACTATTTGGTCTTTGAATACAGCCTTCAAGAGTAATATTTCATTTATTGGCACTTCCCCGCAGCTCGCATGCAATTATTATTGAGAGTCATTTTGGTTTCTCTAAAAGCGTTTGACCTACCCTATTAGTTCCCAGCTGCATTTTCCTTTTAAACGGCAAAGCAGCAATTTAAAAATAATCTTTTATGTCTAAAACAGAAACACCAATAGAAAATAAAACTCTGGGCTAAAGGAAAAGCCCACTGACTGCAATGGCGTGACAGCTGAGCTAACATAATATTATTTCTTGTTATAGGTCTAATATAGATGACGGCAATCTCTGTTATCATATGCATCGGAGAGAGAAGCATCATAAACAACATTAACTAATGATATTTCCCCTGGCACTTGAATCATGCTTTTCCTTTCGATCTTGGTGTTAATGGGATCAGATGAGATGCTGGCCCTCTCACGCCTAGCCTTGTTTTTCTGCTGCAAATATGAGGAACTGCAATTGACTTTCCACGCTATTGAGAATTGCACTTTTCCTTTGTGTATATCCCTCTCTCTTCCATCTACAACTGCTGTGTGTGTGGCAGGGGAAGGTCTATGCTGTGCAGTGGCAGTGACTAGCCAGTGTGGCACAATGGTTAGAGTGCTGGGCTATGAATTCTGAGAGCGAGGTTCGAATCCCCCACTCAGGCATGAAGCTCACGGGGCGACCTTGGGCCTGTCAGTCACCATCACTTAGCCTGACCTTCCTCACAGGCTTGTTGTGAGGGTGAAATGGGTAGGAGGAGAACCTTGCGATCCTTGGAAAATATAGGTACAGTGGTACCTCAGGTTAAGTACTTAATTTGTTTCGGAGGTCCCTTCTTAACCTGAAACTGTTCTTAACCTGAAGCACCACTTTAGCTAATGGGGCCTCCAACTGCCACCACGCCGCAGGAGCCCGATTTCTGTTCTCATCCTGAAGCAAAGTTCTTAACCTGAAGCACTATTTCTGGGTTAGCGGAGTGTGTAACCTGAAGCGTATGTAACCCGAGGTACCACTGTATATAAATATAATCTCTCTCTCTCTCTCTCTCTCATCTATCTAATTGCATTATGGCTTTGCAGCACTATAATTGTTGTTGTTGTTTAGTCGTTTAGTCATGTCCGACTCTTCGTGACCCCATGGACCAGAGCACGCCAGGCACTCCTGTCTTCCACTGCCTCCCACAGTTTGGTCAAACTCGTGTTATTAGCTTCGAGAACACTGTCCAACCATCTCGTCCTCTGTCATCTCCTTCTCCTTGTGTCCTCCATCTTTCCCAACATCAGGGTCTTTTCCAAGGAGTCTTCTCTTCTCATGAGGTGGCCAAAGTATTGGAGCCTCAGCTTCACGATCTGTCCTTCCAGTGAGCACTCAGGGCTGATTTCCTTTAGAATGGATAGGTTTGATCTTCTTGCAGTCCATGGGACTCTCAAGAGTCTCCTCCAGCACCATAATTCAAAAGCATCAATTCTTTGGCGATCAGCCTTCTTTATGGTCCAGCTCTCACTTCCATACATCCCTACTGGGAAAACCATAGCTTTAACTATACGGACCTTTGTCGGCCAGGTGGTGTCTCTGCTTTTTAAGATGCTTCCTAGGTTTGTCATTGCTTTTCTCACAAGAAGCAGGCGTCTTTTAATTTTGTGACTGCAGCACTATAATACTGTAAATCAAAACAATAATGCTAATTTAAAAAAATAGATTTAAAAGCTTTCCAGTCACTGCCATTTTAGCCATGTGGCTAATGGCATTGATCAGAAATAGGTTTAAATATTATTATTATTATTATTATTATTATTATTATTATTATTGCTATAGCAAGGAGTTCTATCACATACCACACTTTCATTTAAAAAAATAGAGCTGGAAAAGCCTTTTAGCATTAATTAAAAGATGGATTGGGGAAAAAATTAAAGGGGTGTTAAAATGGTTTCCATCACAAAAGTTAAGGTGAAAGTTTGCAAAGCTGTGATGCGTTCACCTGCCCATCAAGTAAAAACCCTTGATTAAGCATTAAGCAAGGGGGTGGGAGGGAGAGAGAGAGAGAGAATGCACTGTTCTTCTGGGGAAATGTTTTGGAGGGAAGGGCTTTTTTTCCCTGGTAAAGAGGGCTTTCTGTGGTCTGAAAAAGGACAGAATACCCACAGGGAGAATACAGGATGGGAATAATTTGATGGTGCCGTGGTAAAAATGGGTGAATGAAGAATTGCAATCCCACACAAAGTGCCTAGGGTAAGAACATCCATTTCTAGCAAAGGCTGTAACCCTGCATGTAGGCTGTATAATAATAATAATAATAATAATAATAATAATAATAATTTATTATTTATACCCCGCCCTTTTGGCTGGGTTTCCCCAGCCACTCTGGGCAGCTTCCAACAGAATATTAAAATGCAATAGCCTATTGAACATTAAAAGCTTCCCTAAACAGGGCTCCCTATACACACCATACAGTTGGAGCACCCTCTCCAAAAGTACCGTGGGAACTGCAGTTTACCCCAAGAGAGCTGCAGTTCCCAGCATCCTTGGTAGGATTGCTTTAGGTGGCATAAAGTCCCACTGAAGCCAATAACAATGTAAGACTCCAAAAATAACAGATTGGCAAATCAAATTACAGGAATTGGTGGAGACGGCTCAACTGACTAGTAAACTCAGAGGAAACTCAAAGCAAAAATTTGCGGAAGAATGGGATGGTTATAGAAGATATGTTCAAAAATACAATAATAGTTTTGACTCCGTGCTAGTATTCGAGTGATAAAGGAACTAAAAGGAGGTGGACAACAATTAAGGATCTATTATGTTTTCAGAATGTATTAGAAAAATTATATAGAAAGGTTTATTGTTTTGTGTACATTCAAATGTAAGGTAAAACATATGCAAAGGGACTTGACAGGAAGTCAAAGTTGAAGAACAGATTTTGGAAGATAAAAGGGGGAAAAATATTTACTTTCATTGTTATCATTTTCTGTGCAGGTGTGGGTGTCTGCACATATGTGTGTTGTTGTATGCAATGTTTGGGAGGAAATAAGACGGTAAATAAGAAATAACAAACTAAATATTGATGTATGTAATTTTTATTTCTTAATTATATTTAGTGGTAGTATGGCTGTATTGGTTTTTGTAACATAAAACCATTCGATAAAAATTATTTTAAAAAAGAAGAAGAAGCCAATAACAATGTAAGGAACCAAATTCTATGCAGAACCAAAGCCAAAATCATTTTCCCCAACACCTAAAAGCAATGCATTTTGCTGTTGTCCACCCTAACCACAATAAAACCTGCCTAGTTGATGTCTAGATTTTTCTCGTAGCTATTAAATGGTAACACGGGCAAAATATTGTCAATGTTTTTTCGTTCCCACACCCTTCCTTCTTCCCTTGGAATGTTGGCAGCCAGTGACTCCCTTCCTGAATCTAAATGAAAATTGTTTTCCAAGCACATATTTAACTGAATGGACGGCAAAGGCCTCAAGGTCACCGGTCTTTCTTTGATTGTGTGCTTCACGCTTCTGAAGGAGTTTCCAAGTTTATTACTCCCTAAAACAGCCTTCGTTTCTATTGACACCGTTAACGGAGAAATCCGAGGGCTCCCTTGGACAAAAACAAAGACACCAACCAGGATAACTTGGAGCAAAACAGCAGCCTGCAAATTTTTAGATAGCACATGCACACATTGTGATTCACGATATATCACCATGTCAAATATTATTAAACCCTTACCACGAAGTAGACTTCAAATCAATTTTTGACAATGTATCAATACATTGCCCAACCCGTGCATGTGTGTGTGTGTGTGTGTGTGTGTGTGTGTGTCTGTGTGTGTGTGTGTGTGATGCAAAAATTACAATGTGAGGAAACGCTTGAAGCCACCCAATGTCTCTACACAACTCCATCCTTGTTTCAGACATTGTGGTATATCAACATATCACGATGTTTAGCTGGCGATATATCGCAGTGTTGAAAACCAGCCCTAGTTCTTCGGATACAGAAAAGTGACCTGTTAACAGAAGCATATTCCTGTTCACAGAACTGCTGAGTCTGGGCGAAGATCTGCCTTCGCTATGATCAGCACAGCAACTTTTGCAAAACTATTCTCTACAAGGTTACCTTAATATATGAGCTTGTTAAAGGCAATGCAAAGAGACCCAGTGAGGCATTTTGCCTTGCATGGCTGGCCATGCCGTAGGACTTATGTCACCTGAATGAGGATAGGCCTGGGTGACATTCACAAGCAAAAGAGAGAGGCTTTCTCAACCCACACTACCTGCCTAATGCCTCCACATGTAGCTGTATTTTAGAAGTGCTCAGTGCTCACCTGGGTACAGTGGTACCTCGGGTTAAGTACTTAATCTGAAACTGTTCTTAACCTGAAGCACCACTTTAGCTAATGGGGCCTCCTGCTGCCGCCATGCCGCCGGAGCCCGATTTCTGTTCTTATCCTGAAGCACTATTTTTGTCTTAGTGGAGTGTGTAACCTGAAGCGTATGTAAGCTGAAGCGTATGTAACCCGAGGTACCACTGTATATGCTTTTGTGTGCATGCACACTTCTTCAGATACATGCACACAAAAGCTTATACCCAGAACAAACTTAGTTGGAGTCTAAGGTGCTACTGGACAATTTTTTAATTTTTTAATTTATTTCGACTGCATGAGACCAGACCAGCTACCTACCTGAATCTAGTACTCACCTGTTCAAATTACTTTATACAGTATAAGTTAATGCCCTCATATAGCTCCCTTCTTTTATTTCCAGAGATAAGGGGCTCTCATGATATAAAACCTCTTAGTTAAGTACTTTTGAAGAAATCTGCATGAAATCAAGATTTCTGATGAAAGACAAAATCAAAATTTCTGATTAAAAGGATCATCGGGGCAAATAAATCTTTCTCCAGAAGGAGCCTTGGGCTTTGTGAGAAAGGGGTCTCGCAGCTCAGAAAGGGCGTTGTCTGTAAAGGTCCTCAGGTAATTCACGAGATCAGAGGTTTTCAATCTCTTTGAGTCCATGGTTCCCTTAAAGGTAAAGGACCCCTGGCAGTTAAGTCCAGTTGCAGGCGACTCTGGGGTTGCGGCGTTCATCTTGCTTTACAGGCCGAGGGAGCCGACGTTTGTCCGCAGACAGTTTTTCTGGGTCATGTGGCCAGCATGACTAAGCCGCTTCTGGCGAAACCAGAGCAGCGCATGGAAACGCCGTTTACCTTCCCGCCGGAGCAGTACCTATTTATCTACTTGTACTTTGATGTGCTTTCGAACTGCTAGGTTGGCAGGAGCTGGGACTGAGCAACGGGAGCTCACCCCGTCATGGGGATTCGAACCACCGACCTTCCGATCGGCAAGCCCTAGGCTCAGTGGTTTAGACCACAGCGCCACCCACGTCCCATGGTTTCCTTAACCAACTACAATCTTTCCCTGTGGGGCTCAGGAGCCCAGTTATGTCACCCCTTCCCTGCAGAGCTGGCAGCCTCTCGCCCTTTTTCGAGCACCCTCCCTTGTGGAGTGCTACCTCAGCCTCCTCTCCCCTCTCATTGGGGGTCCTCCGGGCAGCTGCTGCTGCCATCCTAGGTCTCTCAGCTGCCTCCCTGTGCCCGCAAGAGAGATGCATCACAGAGGCACCATTCGCCTGGGGAGCTTGTAGCCAGGGCTGCTGCAACAACCAGCTGTGCAAGCCTT